AATGTAACGCAATTCTTAAGAGTTTTAGTTTAAAAAATGTTAAACGCCAATGTCAATAGAATTCTAGGAGTTTTTTGTTAGTTAGATTCTTGTAAAGTTTAGTGACGGAGTCGTGTTGTAAGCGAATCATTTAATATTGCTTCAATAAAAAGTCCGGCTCTGTGTTTGCTCTTCGATGGTCTCGTTTCAGAAATATTTATGTCTACAATTTCTCCAATAAAATTTGTTTAATCCTTTCAGGATTATTGATACTAACTTTATTTTTCTTCTTTTCTCGCCGCAGATGACAACTTTACATGTTTTTAATTTACGCATGCGCACTGGTAGTTAAATATTTTTCGAGCGAAAATGTGGTGCAGTTCTTAAACATTTTAGTTTAAAAAAATGTTAAACGCCAATGTTAATAGAGTTCTAAGAGTTTTTTGTTAGTTAGATTCATTGTATAGTTTAGTGATTAAATCGTGTTGTAAGCAAAATAATATTACTTCAATAAAAAGTCCGGCTTTGTGTTTGCTTTTGAATGGTCTTGGGCGTCTTGTTTCTTCATATTTTTTTGGGTCTTAATAACTAGTAATTGTCACAAGAATACTAACTTTTGATTTTCATTCTCTTTCAGGTATTTACTAAATTTATTTTTTCTTGTTTCAGACCGATGGACTGTGCCAACTTTTTTTTGAGTTTTCAGTTTAATGCTTCCAGTGGAGTTCATCTATTTTGGAGATGAAACAAAAAAAACTTTTTGCTCTATTGTCCAACAACTGAAAAAACAATTTCCCCTTTGAAATTGAACTATATATTTACGTTGTGAGTTAGTGGGTTATGGGGTACTAATTTTTTTATTTCTTTCTTTTTTTTCTTTTTCTATTTCTTTTATCTTGAATTTAGAAGCGAGAGGCTAGGCCGTTCAAGTAACAGAGGACCATCTTTTCTTGCTTTCATCCATACTGGCTGCTACACGAAGTAACCATTGCAGCTTTAAAGCTAGTCATGTCGTAGCAATCGAAATTTTGGTGCCGGCTCGAATCTGTTGTTGGAAGTCCATGCCAAATCCTCGGCGAATATTGTAAAAGAAAAAATTG